GGTTCGAGACCCGCTTGGGCAGCGAGACCTCATCTTTACAATAAATCAAAAACCAGCCGGGTGTGGTAGCGCGCGCCTGTAATTCCGGTTACTCGGAAGGCTGAGGCGGAAGGATGGCCGGAACCCAGCAGGTCGAGGCTGCGGTGGCCGGGAGTGGCCACTGCACTCCAGTCTGGGCGACCGAGTGAGACTCCAACTAAAACAAACAAACAAACAAACAAAAAAACACCACCACCAACAAAAACAGACATAAAGTGGGGAGAGACTAGTGAAATGAACACTCCATATTCATCATATAGATTTACCAGTTGCTGACATTTTGCTGTGTTTGCCTTTTTCCTTTTTTTGAATCAGAGTCTCACTCTGTTGCCCAGGCTGCAGTGGCATAATCACGGTCACACCAGCCTTAACCTGCTGGGCTCCGGCGATCCTTCCACCTCAGCCTTCCAAGTAGCTGGAACTACAGGCGTGCGCTACCACGCCCGGCTGATTTTTTGATTTATTGTAGAGGTGAGGTCTCGCTGCCCGGGCGGGTCTCTAACCCGCGGGCTCAGGCAATCCACCGCGGGCTCAGGCAATCCACTCACCTCAGCCTCCCAGAGGTGCGGGGTTACAGGCTGAGCCACCGGCTAGGAAGACAATTGTTATCATTAACATTAAAGATAATGAAACAGTATTATTACACTCTAGCTAGATACTGTTGCTTGCCAAAGGCATAAGCCCAAAACCTGCTGGAGAGTAGTACTATTAGAGAAGTCTTAAAGATGTTGTAGTGCCAAATAAGAAAATGCAAAAAAATTGAAAGGGAATAAAACATTCTCATAGTGTTATATAATACCTTGGCAGTATAACTCCTTTAAAATCTCATGCATAGGCCAGGCACAGTGGCTCAAGCCTATAATCCCAGCACTTTGGGAGGCCAAAATGAGAGAATTGCCTGAGCCCAGGGGTTCGAGACCAGCCTGGGCAACTAGGTGAGACCTCATCTCTACAATAAATCAAAAAATTAGCTGGGCATGGTGGCGTGTGCCTATAGTTCCAGCTACTTGGAAGGCTGAGGAGGAAGGATTGCTTGAACCCAGGCTGAGTCTGCAGTAGCCTTGCGTATGCCACTGCACTCCAGCCTGGGAGACAGAGTGAGACTCCAGCGCACACACACAAAAAAATCTCATGTATAAACTGGATGCAGTGACTCATGCCTGCAATCCCAGCACTTTAGAAGGTTGAGGTGGGAGGATCGTTTGAGCCCAGGAGTCCAAGACCAGCTTGAACAACATAACAAGACCTTGGCTCTACAAAAATTTTTTAAAAATTAGCCTGGCTACTTGGCTAATTAGTTCCAACTGCTCGGGAGGCTAAATGTTCTTCCAATCTTTTGCTAATTTCATGATCCAAAATTAAGGATAGAACTCAACAGTGCTTTTTTCTTCTTCAGGAAGTGTTTTGGATCACAGTCTGGAAAGCCTCATCCACCGCCTTCGTGGTTTGTGTGACAACATGGAACCTGAGACTTTCCTTGACCATGAGATGGTATTTCTTCTTAAGGGCCAGCAAGCCAGCCCATTTGTCCTAAGGGCCCGCCGCTCTATGGACAAGGCAGGGGCACCCTGGCATCTGCGCTACCTGGGACAGCCAGAAATGGGAGACAAGAACCGTCATGCCTTAGTGCGCAACTGCGTGGACATTGCCACATCTGAAAACCTCACTGACTTCTTGATGGAAATGGGCTTTCGCATGGACCATGAGTTTGTTGCCAAGGGACACTTGTTCCGTAAGGGCATCATGAAGATTATGGTGTACAAGATTTTCCGCATCCTGGTGCCAGGAAACACAGACAGCACTGAGGCCCTGTCGCTCTCCTATCTTGTGGAACTAAGTGTTGTTGCACCAGCTGGGCAGGACATGGTCTCAGATGACATGAGGAACTTTGCTGAGCAGCTGAAACCTCTGGTACACCTAGAGAAAATAGACCCCAAAAGGCTCATGTGACTAAGAGGGTCTGTCCACCTTTGGGACCTGTCCTCGCTTGTTAGGAAAAGATGTCTTCAATTACCCATGTCACCATTGCCAGCCAGGCATTCTTCCTTCAGGATAGAGGACAGGGAGAATTTAGTGTGGTTCTTTGTACTGTTTTCTTCATGTGGGAATTTCACTGTCATGAGAGCCTTTCTGTAGAAGACTCAGGATAACATGGAGAATCTATGTAATCTTTCTGCCTAAAGAAGGAAAACTGGAATAAATCAGCTTTTAGAAAAAAAAATCTTGTAATTTTTTGGAATTTGTGTATAAGGTTTGCAATGCAGAGGCAGTGAGCCTGTGTTTTATGGTAATAAAAACTTTGAAGAGAAATGACTGTATAATTCTAATGCTTTATTCCCTTACCCTTCTAATTTGGGGTGGATTCATTACCAGTTGGAGCATAAAAATGATAATTCCTAGCTTTGTGTGTATGTGTGTGTGTTTTTTGTTTTGTTTTGTTTTGTTTTTTGATTTGGAGTCTCACTCTGTCGCCCATACTGGAGTGCAGTGGCCACTCCCGGCCACCGCAGCCTCGACCTGCTGGGCTCCGGCGATCCTTCCGCCTCAGCCTT